CCTCCTTCACGAATTCTCCCACCTGCGCACACCTATATCATGCCCGCCGTGGATCGAGCCTTTTCTTCTCCTTTTATTTTGTTGATGTATTTTTTTTTTTAATTTTTCCCATTTGTTTTGTCTTAAGTCCTCCTTTCATCCTTTTTTCCCACAAACAAAAAAATTGCCAGAGTCACTGTGTTGATCACTGTTGCTAGTTAAATTTATTTTATTATTTATTTATTTTTTTTTTTTTTTTATAAGTGGTTAATTCATTTTTTTTTTAATTTATTATTAGATCTTTTTGCTGATTCACTTATTTATTGCTAGTTGACATTAATTATTATTTGTCCATTCATTGCAATTTATTTGGTTATGTTAAACGCCAGAATACCTTATTCCTAGATAATTATTAAAAATATTATTATTTACTTACTAAGCGGAGTTTTTCGTACTGCTTGGAGCCCTAGCGCTCCTCTGAACTCTGACTACTGTTGGTTACCTTGGGTAGTCGCCTTACATGATTAGAGTCTTCTTTTCACTGTGTGTAAGAAGTAAAACTTTTCCAACAAACTTGCGATTTATGGAATGCTGGTTTAGGGTAGGGAACATGTAACAACAAAGTAGAATTTGTTTTTTTTCGTGGAATATGTGCAGTGAGTCTCCAAGATAACACCCAGCTATTTTTATGTTATGTAACCAGCAGACTGCTGCATAATCGATGCAGTAAGCAGTCTGGCTATAAACCAATTGACTTCAATTAGACAATCTTTTTGATGTTCCTATCAGATTTTTTTAAATTTAAAATTCTTTTATTATCACCTAATATGCTGTTACCACAATTTAGCAGCTTTCATCAGAGTGAGGATCGGGGTTCATAATATACAATAGCTTGGGTAAAAGGTAGCGTAATTTGCATATTTACATTTATATGTATGTTAATTATTGTTTAGACTAGATTATATTTTGTTTGGCTGGGGATCTGCATGCTACACCAAAGGCGGCGATCGGGTAGGTCCTTTTAACTACCTACTTCTTCTACACCTCATTAACAGGTTCCTTGAAGGGACGTTAGAGTGGTTGTGGAGCTTGCCTCTCCGTTAAAAATATTTTCTATAATTGGAACCTTAAGGTCCTTTGTGATGTCCCGTCTGCGAATATACCGTTCGGCTCCAGAATTTTTTTGGAAGGTCTTGGTCTAAATGATGCGATCTGTTTGTGATGATGCGAAGGTTTGTTTAGTTGAGTTATTGCTGCTATAACCTAGAGACGCCGGGGCAAAAATTATCTTATATATAAGGACATTATTTCTTCTGTCGATAATAACCTCTAGGTATTGATGGCCACGCACCTGCTTTAAGAGTTCACTTTGGAGAAAAAGTCCGGGCAGGAGTATTGCGCCACAATAGCACATTTTTCAGGGTTCACTGCATTGGCGGCTCAAAAATTTGCGCGACTCTCTGTATCCTATCATGCGGCCTTAACCGGCTTGAAAAGCTCTAGGTTGCAGGCTTCGGATCTGTCCATTGGCAATCTGGCCCAGGTGACATCGGCATGTCGGACAGGGAACTTAGCGCAACTCCTTCCTGACCTTCTTGGTCATAGGGCGATAGAGCCTGTTGATTCGGGGGTCCTGGGTACTAACTTACTCCCTCCTTAGTGCCCTTTTCAGGGAAAGAAGGCCGTCATCGATGGGCGGAAGTATACTTGTGTGTAGGCTTGCAAGCTTACATTTGTGCGTTGGCAGCCGCGGGATGTACTTGGTCCAACATGGTGTGAACTGCAGCGTCGGCATCCTCGGCTGTTAAGATTTAAATGCTTAAATCTATCGTGCTGTTAAGTTTAGCATTTAGGCGTTAAATGTCCGACATAAAAGGGAGATGCCTCCGCTTTCTAGGGATTGAGCAGTTGGTTAGCGCTTCACGTAGCGAAATGCCTTTGCCGGCAGTCGCCACCAACAATGAATTTATGATCAATGAGAGAATCGAATGCAGATAGGTTCCATGAAAGGTTAGGGGTAGATACACTGGAGCTACAGGTATTTCGCTCAAAGGGGTCCCCACGATAATAGCTGCTTTCTGTGTAGTGCAGGAAGTCACTGGATGTAGTTGGTAGTGCATCAAGTCCTGTTTGACAAGCACCGCAGCAGCTCCTCTGGCACGATCTGTTGGATAATCCTCGAGTTAGGGACATACTCCGCTATGGCTAGTCTAGGCCTGCGTGTGAATTGGTTTCTAGGACAAGCAGAAACAGTTTAGGCTCGTTCGCATTTTGTATAATGCTGCGAACGTTCCACGATCCGAGGCGCATGTGAGTAGAAATTTTTTGCGTTTAATGAAACACCGAGCTGTAGAGAACCTTGCGACTGCGGCATTTAAAGCTGCCATCAACTGCTGGAGTTCTTAGAGGATGCTTCCGAGAGACGTATCTTGTTTCTGACATCCTTGCTTTGGATATTGAGGCTGCGTTGGAACATTGCCAGGGGCGCGCAGAGGGATTGCGCAGTTGTGCATGTTGCCGGTAAATTTTGGCTGCAGTCCCTATTTTTTATGACCCTACATAAGGTCTACATAACAGAAATTTTAACGATCAAGGGCAATACCATACGTGAGCTTCTCTAGGTCCTTTTAGAATCCAAGGGGGTTGGAGTGGCCATCGTACCTGATACCCCACTTCCGCATTTGCTCCGACCTCCGACTGAAGGCATGGCCTGGTATTGTAAGGAACGCTACCCGGCTCGGTAGGTTTCTGCCCAACCTCTACGATGGTCGCGGTGGCGATCCTCAATTTCCCCGGAATCATAAGCCTCCCGTGATACCCGTACTGGCTAAAATAGGGACAGGCGGCTGGGGACGCGCGTACAATTTGGAGCTCGTACGATCAGACTCCGATTTTAGACGTGGTCATCCGCTCACCTCAGGTAGGACGCCCCAGGATAGAGGTTCCAACGGTTTCGCGATTTGAGAATCCAGCTCGGCCGAGCCGAGCCGAGATCTAAGTTGAATGCCGCCTACGCAGCTCCTTCACGCGCCCTTCCTTTTCCAGCCCGAACTCATTGCGCCGCTGGTGGATCATCTGATTCCATCCTGAGTTTTTATCTCTAACTCTAAGAACCTGCACTAATCTCCCTTTTCAGTGGACTGTAGCCTTAGTTGTAATCCGTGTTCACACTTCTCGTTCCGTAGAACTAATTGACTATTATTCTTGTCTTTCCCCGGCGATCTCGCAAAACTCAAAAGCAAAAATACAAAAAAGCACTTCATAATTTTTCAAATTGTGACCATCCTTCACTTTTCTTTCGCGTTGTCTTATTATTTTCCTTTTATTTGATATTTATTATTATATATATATTATTATTTTTTTTTCGTCGGTCTCCTCACAAAAAAAAATAAAACAAAATAATCCACGTAATGGCCTTTCAACTTTTAATCCTCGTCCATTTGACTTGTGTTGCACTTGTCTGCTCTTATTGCTCTCTTTTTTTTTATTTCTCCTTTTCTCCATTGCCTTCGCAACTGTAACGACAAATTCAACTTGCACGCGGTGAATTCAAACTTGCGTTTAAATTCAAACTTACTTGAATGTATTGTTATCTGTCTCTGGCTGGCAAAGAAATAAATTTTCTTAGTTTTCAAGCGCTGATCATGATCTACCGCGAATTTGTGTTAACATATGTATGTATACATGAATGCATTTTTTGTACTGAGGTTAGCTCCGTAGATAATATGTATTTTTAAGTCGATGCAAATATTTATATATTCCACTGCGTGGAATTGGTCATACTTATGCTCTTCCTTCCTTAAATAGAGAAAGTAACCATCCGGGCCATCCAAATCACATTTGTTCTCGTCGGAGAATACAATTCGGTGCCACTCCCGTTGCATGGTCATATTGCCTCGGGAAAATAATCGCTGCTGCTTTGAAGACAGTTCACCGTTTTTTTTTTTTTTTTAGTTTTTGACGTTTTAGGTATCTTGTCTTCGAAATAACCCGTTCAATTGTAGAAACATTGGCAATAACAGCCGATTTCCCCTTTATTTTGGCAGCGGAGTCATGCTAGTTCGACGGATTCCTCAAAGTAGCTCTATTATCAGCCGATGAAACTACGCAGGATTCTCACCTTTCATATTATTTCCAAAGTCATTTGATTTCCGTACAAAATTGCTGAATTTTCGACATATGTTACCTTTTTTTGGAATTTCATGTATAGAAGGGCCACACTCCTCGAAAGTTTTGATTTTGCCTCTTTTCTCATTGCTTAATGGTCCCATTTTGGGCTTAAATAATGTCCACGAAAACAATGGAAGTCTTTAAGTCGCTTTCGAAACTTTGCGAAAAGTGATGATGAAAAGGGGGCCGTTATTCAAATGAGCCAAATAGTTTGTGCCTTTAACTTGCATAACAAGTTATTCGGACTATTTTTCCTGGAGCAGGTGAAAGTATTAGAAGCAAAATGCTAATTTTACTACTAAGTGCATAGATCTGTGATCTATACGCATTTTCACATTTCAAGAAAAGGGGCGCTATTCAAGTGAGCGGCAGATTATATTAGGAGAGGAGCACTTCTCTGTCTAATTTGGCCAAGATATCTTTTGAAAACACCCAAATTTTCAAACATTTTTTGCCCGATAATTTTTACCGTGCCAAAATATATAGTAATAGGATGTTCATACGATTTTCGTTATTTGTAACTGTAGTGATGCGGGTATCAATAATATATATATACTTTATGGGATCTCCTTTTATGAAATTTTTTTCTCAAGATCATAAATGGACCCTTGAATGGTAAATTGGGTCAGTCGAAACAAGACATATTGTGCAATATTTGCCCGATTTTAAAAGTTATCGGATTCTACAATATACTTTATCACATTCCCTCTATTTGATGCATAGCAAATATATCTGATTTAATTAAAAAAATAAATTCACAAAATTTTAAACACGAAATAAAAATATGAACATTTTTAATGGACTCTCCCATTATGGTACTAATTTTAAAATAAACATGTATTTCTATTTAGAGCGCGGAAGTTGGGATGCGAAGCATTGTTATGTTGGACGAGCAAGGAGGTAAGACATATAAAGTAGCATGTTATCAATGCTATTTATTTATCTTGCATAGCCGATAAGCATCTCCCTAGCATATGCCTACACTAGAAATGTTGATAATGCTGGTTGACAAAAGCAATGCCGCATTTTAATTAATTTAACCAAAAATTAGCTTTTTTTTGGTATTGCTTTAACAATTTGAGTACTCTTTATTAGACACTTGAACACTTGTATGATGGTAAAGCACTCAGGACCATCATTCCTTTAATTTCCGTAATGTTCCATAAAGACAGATAACAATGTTGTTTTTTGACTGTTTGTCTAAGCTGATTTGATAATAACGATTAAAACAATTAAAATAGCACAACAGAAAACAATACAATCGCAATTGCAATGTTGTTAAATTCAATGATGTCGTGCGTGAATGTGTGTGTGCATGTGTACAGAACGTTTATACATACGGATGGACGGACAGGCAGACCGACATAGCTAGATCGACTCGGCTGTTGATGCTGATCAGGACTATATATGGGATCAGAGATGATTGTAACTGGCCATTAAATTCATTTGCGCAAAAGCGTTATACCGTTTTTATCCATTATTGGGTGGGTATAAAAATATAGCAACAATAAAGTCCCTTACGCCTTAAAAAATAATTATTGTTGGTGATTTGCGATTGATAAGTTCCTTGAAGAGCATCCAAGGGGTGTTAATCAGTTTAGCAGACTGTCCGACAGCATATAACTGCGTTAAACACAGCACAAGTCCGGTTTGGGGTAACATCTCGTTCCTTCTTAATTTAGTTTTCTGATACCGCTGGATTCAAAACACAGATCGTTTTGAATCAAGAATTAGTTTTTCTACTTGAATTTTGATAACTGCAGGTGCGTTTCCACTAGAACTGTGAGCTGCAGGCTCAGGATTGGCATCAAGGAAAGTGAGCTTTGGTGAGCAGCTCCAGCGATTGGTGGTTTGGCTGGTTAGCTAGCGAACATTCCTTATGGATATTTCTTTATGTTCGGTTAGTATTTCGCAGAATAAAGATAGGAACTGTCTTCTTAGCTCAACACATATTTACTTTCAGAAGTTGACTCGATAGATATCTGTGCATAAATATCCTTTGCTAATTTATAAAGACTTTCATTTCCTTATTGAACTGATCGACCTCTCACGTGACAAGGAGATACGGGTATATTTTGGAGCGCAGATCTGATTACACTAAATTACAGATAAAAGAATAACAGTAACGAAATAACACAGCACATATTTTATTTTTTATATATTAATGGTCGACAAAAACCAGTGTCTTCCTAATTATTTAATGTATCATCAAGCCATGAAAATTAAATGTCAAAAGCATAATTTGAATTCACGATTTTCCAATAACATCACCGACCGATGGTTGTGTTTTATATGCTCATCTGGCTAGCGATTCCCCTTTTCAAAGCTAATTTTGTCAGTGCATTATTAGAGCCTACAGCTAAGAATGCGTTAGTAGAGAAAATAGTGTTCTTAAGGTAAAATTAAAAATAATCTATATTTCCAATATTATTTATTAATAAAATTATTTGAAGGAAAATAAAGAAAAAAGGAAGTTATTAATAAAGTAAGGAAACTAAATATATAGATTGTTAAGTAGATAGAATAAAGAGATAGTGATTGGAAATCCAAGACGGTGCGGAAAATATATCGCTTGACCGGCAACTTATGCCCCTACTTACAGCTGGGGATTGTCGATGAGGTATCCAAAGGTATCCTGAAAGAAAACGATTTTATTAGGTGTATAGAACGTTCTGTGGAAAAACGTGATACAAACTATTGAAATTTTTACATAGTACACAACAAGAATTCTGCACACCGTAATCTTTTATGCACGTAGGTAGAAATAAGGAACGATATTGCCTAGACGGAACAGATATTGAAGACGCCCTAACAGAAAAGGAGAATCTATATCGCCAACAATCAACTTATGTAGAAACCCAATACCGAGTCCTACGATTGGTCAACGACGGAAGGTTAAGAAGAAGAAGCCTGCTAAAGTAGGGGACCCAATTTAAACCTCGTAAGGCAAACAACCAAAATTGCTTCTGAACGGAGACCACACGCAAAATCAGTATTAGAATAGTTCGAGCAAGAAAGTTGTATAGGAGTTTCGTTATGAATGGATCTTTAAGCACTTTTTGTCTCAATAACGATGGTATCTTTAATAAGATTTTGATAAAGTTTAGCATCAAAAGGAACGCTTAGGTCCCTAACTATAAATATACATTACACTGGAGTATAATCGATTGTACTATCGATTGGATAACAAGATAAGATCACTAACCATACAATGTATAGACATACAATGTATAGACATACCAAATGGCACTTTTAATCGCAACATGAAAAATCGAAACGAGACGACCCCAATGGTACCTGAGACCATTTTAGTGTGCCCAGACACTGCTGAGACTGCTGAGAGTGGCAGCCGAACGCCGGCCTAAAAAGCCGAACGTTCAGTATGAAGCCGCATCTCGCTCAGCGCACAACGTCGCGGCTGATGCGTTTTCTTAATGTATGTATGTATGCCATTTTTAAATCCTTACAGCCCAAAAACATATATGTGTATGCATGTGCCTCGCTCTCACTCTGCAATTGCATCCATCTCTTTCTCCCTGCATAGCTTCCCACAAAACTCCGAGATCTACAAACATTTATACGTTTGTGTTGTGTGGATGTGCGCACAAGTAGATCGCGGCGTTTGTCGCGAGCCAGAGGTTATTTCTTCAATTGTGTGCCTTTTGTGCCTGTGGTAGCAATAGGCACTCACATTTAAATGCTCTATCATGTATTTCTTCGTCCAGTCAGGCATAATGAGAAGAATTCGATCAAATTTTATTTAATACACAATTAATTGACCTAAATAAAATATTTATATGGTTGCATAGCATTCAATTATCTTGTAGACGAGAGTGATGTAGATGATAAGTGTATGAAATAATAATTTTGCGGACTATCCGCATACATAAGTATGCAATCGAGAGGATATCATTTAAAAAAAGAATAAAGTGTAACCGTAAATTAAATGAAGTCAGTGTAAAAGGCATCAGTTTGCATTTTAGAAAGGAAAGCATAAGTTTACCAATGTAGTAAATTCAAGCAGGTTGCTTGTTGTTTATCAATTCTTTACGAATCCGTTTTGACCAGGTTAGACAACTGATTTGCAGAATTGTTGCAAATTGGAAGTATTGATTTTTTAAATAATTTAGGGATAACGGACAGATTTACAATTTCCCCGTAATTCTTTATATCACGCGAATGTACGACTGCTAATTCTATCTACTTGCTCAATAGTTAAGAATAAGAAGAAGAATTTATACGAGGAATGGAGGACTCCGAGCAGAATACTCGGTTATAATCATCACAGAGAAAACTTAACAGTTTTCAAGACATTGTTGGTTCAACAAAATTGAAGTGATAAAGGTGTATAATTAATCTAGGTGGGACAGATATGTTCAATAGCTTTTGAGTAATTATTACACCAAGTATTTTTTTACGAATAATTAAAGGTGGAAGATTCACTATCATAAGTCTGCCGGTTACCTCACACGAAGGGCAAACAAGAAGAATTATTTCTATACATATTCAATTCTGTCTTGATGAACAGAATATTGTGGTGACCAGATACATGAGGCATACTCTAGTATAGTACCAAAGATATATAAAGGGTCTTAGTCGTATACGGATCTTCAAATATTTTGACCATCGCTTGATGGAACCCAAAACAATTCTGGCCTTATTGACCACTATCTTTTATAATCCAGAATGACGCTAAGATCATAAACTTCATTACAAGTACTATTGACATGTACGAGAGGTAAGCTATCAAGGATATTAGAAACCAATTGGAGAGGACCTCTAATGAAAGTCAATAATTAAATTTGCAGCAGCTTAAATTAAAGAGGTTAGGTAAAAAATAGCATGATGCCATATCTTTAAATGCAAGCCATAATATAATTAAAGCATTGTCAGCATAGATTAATAGTCGATAGTGAGACAGTATCGAGGGAAGGTTATTAATGAATTATTATTATTAATAATTATTAAAGAGTAAGAAGTAAAGGGCCAAGATGACTACCTTAAGGAGCTCCGGAAGTCACCAGAATATGTTTAGAAAACAAATTTTTGAACATAACCTTTTAACGTTTTTTGGTCAAATACACTGAAATCCACAGCAAGAGATTGACTGGACAGCCGAGAAGGCATTATTTATGAAGCAGCAAGGAGTGGTTGACAGAGTCGAAAGCCTTACCTAAATTAGTAACGATGACGTGTGTCTGCTTTCTTTTCTGAACTTATCAATTACTAGCGAAGTAAACTCAAGAACACGCTTCACGAACCCCTGGTAAATAAAAGAACTACATTATTATTGCAGTTGAGATGTACTGATTCTCTTATAAGTTTAAGGTATAGCGAATAGTTTGGAAATACCTCTTTAGTTTTCGACATCTCACTTACTCTCTCATTTTTGGAGAGGGAAAATGTATGATTATCCAAATGGTCGGAAAAGATGATCTTTAAATACAATTCAAAATGTTTTAAGACAGGTATACATAGTTTACTAGCAGGAACACCATCAGGGTCCGGTGAATGAGCCGGCTCAATTGTTTTCTTTCCAAAGAAAGGGATACATTAAAAATCTTTAGCTTGGGGAGGAAGGGAATAACTACACTCCCTGAGTAGACAACTAGAAATATTGCCAGGCCCAGAAGAGTAAGAAGAGTTTTAAAAATTTATAGCAGAAAGAAGAGAGGAATGGAAAATAATAGCAGCATATATAGAACTAGAAAAAGTAATATTATAATAGTATAATTTAATATTAGGATAGACAGAAGAGTAAATTGGTTTAAAAAAATTATCCATTCCGAGAGAAAAAGAAAATGGCAAACTTAAAGATTGACGCTTCGCGCTTAAAAAATTATAAAACTATATGGGATTTTGGAAAAGTGCCAGTTGCAACGAGGAAGAATATTCAGATA